TGATTTTACTTATTTAATTTTTATCCTCACCCGAGGACATTTTTCCATTTGTTTGTTCAGATAGAGTGGGAGGGAGAGAGAGAGAGAGAAACATCGATGAGAAAGGGACACAGCGAGTGGCTGCCACCCGCACGACCAACCAGGGCTGGGGACAAACTGCAACCGAGGTACGTGCCCTTAGCAGGAACCGAACCCGGGTCTCTCCGGACCGCAGGCCGACGCTCTAACCGCTGAGCCAAACCGGCCAGGGCTCTCCTTGTTGATTTTAGAGAGAAGAAGGGAAAGGGAGAGATAGAAACATCGATGAGAGAGAACATGGACTGGCCGCCTCCTGCGTGCCCCCCACTGGGGATTTGGCCCACAACCTGGGCATGTGCCCTGACCGGGAATCGAACTGGCGACCCCTTAGTGCATGGGTCTTCCCTCAACCACTGAGCCACACCAGGTGGGCTGTCCCCATTCTTTTTAATGGAGGAGCAAGCAGGAGCTGGGAAGTACATGACTGGACCAAGGTCGCCTGAAGCCAGGAGGGGAACTCAGTTCTGTCTCCTGCAGTGCGCTCTTCCCCGGTAGTTTACTGAGAAAAGACCTTGGGGTAACCATGTAGTCCAACTCCTTCCGTGGGGATGAAGACACTCAGTGCAAAGAAAGAAACTGGCTGCTACCAAGTCAAACCCAGAGTCCCCAGCACAACAGCTCAGGTCTCCCAGGGGCCAGAGTGGACTATTCTCTTGGTAAAATAAAGCAGAACAGAAAACAAGCCATACGATCACAGATAGTTGGGACCTGCCCGACTTCCAAAGTTCGCGGAGACGAGGCTCAGCGACCGCTTTCGAGACGAAAGCCTTGCACCCTGGTAGCTGGGATTTGGTCTGCAGATGTGGTTGGTTTGGCCTGAAAAACACAGGCTTTACATCTGAATCTGGGCAGTGTTGAAAAAAAAGAGAGAGAGAGAGATCTTATCACTAAAAAGAAAAATGCAGATTTTTGGCTTTTTCTAAAAAAATAAAATAAAAATCAAAACAAGGTCTGGCATGGCCGAACATGCTTTGCCACTCTTGCCAATCACCTAGCACAGAGCAGAAGTTGCCCCCCCCCCCCAGGAGGTGGCGAGCGCCCCCCAGCTCCCCGCCGGCGCCTGCGGGCTCCCAAACCCCGAGGCCACCGGTCCGAGTCCGATGACGCTGTCCTGGTATCTAGAATTGGGCGCCACTGGGCTAGAGGAGTCCACGCGGGGAGCTTTTACCTTTCAACTGGGTTATCTGACTTGACTTTTTTTTTTTTTAAGGAACAGACACAACCTCACAATCCAAATGCAGGAAAGCCTCGCGGGCCGAGGCATTCCAGTTCAACACTCATTTATTTTTTATTTTTTTTATCCTCACCCGAGGACATTTTTCCATCCCTTGTACAGAGTAGGAGGGAGAGAGAGGAAGAGAGAGAGAGAGAAACTTCGACGTGAAAGGGACACATCGAGTGGCTGCCACCCGCACGACCAACCAGGGCCGGGAACAAACTGCAACCGAGGTACATGCCCTTAGCGGGAACCGAACCCGGGTCTCCGGACCGCAGGCGGGTGCTCTAACCGCTGAACCAAACCGGCCAGGGCTCAACACTCACTTAAAGAGAAGCCACCAGAAACTCTGAGAAGGCGAAGAAGGCATGGGAAGAGCCTGCATCACGGTGTCAATGGGTTGGAGGGGTTCTAGCTTTTTCCACAGTCGTGGAGAGACATACTTGGCGGAGGCTAAAATACAGTGACGAGTGGGGACACAAATGTGTCATCCCTCACTTCTCCCACACCCACGCGCCACGGAGGTGGTGGGCCTGAGCTACGGGGAACAGGATGTCAAAACTCTTCAGGCGCGGAACAAGCCATAGAACGGACTAAAAATACCCCCCGTGGCAGAGCGCCATACTCGGATCGCGACCTTTTTAAAACAGGAGACCTGAGCTAATGATGCATGTGTCGCCCTCCATCAAAGGGGCTGGCGGCATCTTACCTTTTAATTAAGTGGCCCCACACCTATGCAAGGAAGCTTACACCTGGCGACACATCCAACTCTGGGCCAGCTGAAGCATGAACAGTGCAGGGACATCATGAAACCCCCCAAATATTAGATGTGTAGGTTACTCCCCCCGCCCAGGTTTTGCTACCCCTTGCTCTACAAAATTCCTGCAGTATTTTATGGTGCGCGTGTACATATGTGGTCTTTTGGGGCTGTTCCCAGCGGAGGCCTGTTTCGTGAACTCATCCAGCCAGATGGTTTTGTTACTGGTGTCAACCCCGAGTGGTGACCTGGAGCCCTGGAGAGAAGCTCGGGTTCGAAATCCTGACCTAGTGAGCAGACACAGGATGTGTGCTTCCGCGATGCAGGTTCACGGGCTGGTCCACTCGCTAGCTGTGTGGTCTTGAAAAGTCACCTAACCCTCAACCTCTCTATAGCATGAGTTTCCTCATCTGAAAGAGGAGAGGCAAACTCATAAAAGGAGACCACAAAGTAGGGGGCACACAGAAGGCACCCCAGGAGCATTCCACATAACCTCCCTTCCCTTCCCAGAAGGCCAGCGGCTACAGAGCCTCAGGAGTCAAACAGTCCCATCCGCTCATACACACATGAAGACACCAAGGCCCCAGAAGTACCCTCAGACACACAGTGGCAGCTCCAGCAACTCCTGAGACCTGGGCTCTGGTACTTGGCCCAACCCTGGTTTTCTTACCTGAGCCAGCCCATGAGGCAGATTCTGAGAGCAGGTAGGGGCAGTGACAAGGCAGCCTCTTTGATTTTCAGCAGCAAGTGCAAGACATGGGGCTAGGTACACAGACCTCCTCTGCTGAAGTCTGACATGGGCCTCACTACTCCCTACTGCTCTCGTCCTCCCCAACGAACATATCTCGGTTGCTTGTTGGGCCTCTATATACGTCCAGGTTTGGTTTATCAAGCTAACGGGCTGAGCTGCCTTGTCAACAGCTTGGATTATTGGTTAGCCAGAGTTGAGGCATGACCCTTCAGTACTAGAAATCTCACCCACACGCACACACTCCTGAGAGGCAGGTCACTCTCTAAGCTTGGTTCCTGGTCTGCGGGGGAGGGGTTGACCCTGTTCAATTTCAGCAAAGGGATGACTTGACCTAGCTGCCCTCCTACAGAAGAGGGGCATGGAAAATCACCGATGTGTCCAGAAAGGCTGAGTATCCGATTCCCAAGCAAACGACTCTTCAGGGAAGACTTCACTAGCATGGTAAGGGTTAGAGAGGACACACGCTTCAACAGAAACCAGAATCCTAGGTCCCGAAGGTGAGACGTCACACTTCGTATAGCACGTTACACCTGCTCCCTTCACTTTCTCTTGGGAGCAAAACACTACTCTTAGAAGATTGCTTTCTGAAAATAACCTGCGGAATACTGACCGACACCAAATGCTGCTCTAATTCATTGAAATCCATTCTTCTCCTGGCCACTGGCGGGTTGGAGAAAAGGGAGAGGCTGAGAAGAGGGCTCCCCTGAAATCCTGTGGCACCCACAATACATCTCCAACACAAATATCCACTCTTATGTCCACTATCACCAAATCTACCACCTTCTTCATGACCCTAAGACAACGATAGGAATAGTTTGCCCAGATGTTCTCAGAAACAAGTACTGATTAGCCTGGGTGAATTAGTGAGCGTTATGAGAAGTGGTTGAAGACGGTAATTTATTAAGGCCGACAGAAAACTCGCAGTCCACACACGAATTCAAACCCTTATTTGAATAGGCTATTTTAAACTTGATCTGCGGTAGGGCACAGGCCAAATTAAATCACTCATTTTACTGACTTGAGTCTCAAGCTTCAATTCTCGGGCGGATTATTTTTAATTCAAAAATTAGCTCTTGCCCTATAAAAATAAGCAGCACCAAGGAGAAATGCAAGACAGCCTCCATTGTTTAGGCACAGAGCAGTTACTTTTACCCAAAAAAAAAACCCCTCAAAAGTATTAATGACATTACTTCCATTCCTAAAGTGTAGAAAAAGAACTTTATGGTACAGCTTTAGGTTAGAATAAAGTATAACCGACAGGTATTATCTCTGAAACTGCTCCTTCAGATTTTTAAGTGACAGATGTAGGTAAGCAGACGTTATAATAGGACCACACAATGCAAAACTATGCAGCCACTGAACACAGGGCAAGGGACAGCTGTCTCAGCCACAGAAAAACACGTGTGATAACATGAATTGATAACAGCCCGTTGCAGAAGCCATTTTTGAAACACCAACCCCCACAAACTCATGCCTACGTCCACATCTATGAACCTTGACACACACACCTGACAGGTCGGGTTCTAAATCGGGCTGCCAGAGGACACTGATAGTGAAAGAGCTGTAACAGCTCCTGTGTGCCCTTCCTATGCCATTTCTGATCAACTTCTGTTTCCATGGCACTCAGCAAAACACACACCACCAACTCTCCAGTCCTTGGAAGGCGCTTGGAGGGAAAGGCGTGGTGTGCACGGTTTCCTTGCTGCTGGACGAGGGAAAACAGGCAGCAGGCACCCCCTCCCCCCGTTAGCTCTACTCCGCAGGGCTCCCACGTGTCAGGAGAGCGCAGATGGCAGTTTCGGGGCGCAGCAGAATCCGGGACCGGTGCTGTCGAGGCCAGGGCTGGCAAAGGGTGCGTGGGGCTCCCCCACTTCCTCCCTCCTCACCTTCGGCCCCAGCCCCCCTCCTGCGGCCACCCTGCCCGCACGCCCGGGCACCCATCTGCAGAGCACACGGGCTGCGCGGAGGAGCCGTGGCGCGTTCCAACCGCGCTCGCGTGCCAATCAGTCCGGGGTCAGTGCCGGGGCAACCGTCAGCCCGGGGCTCCTCTCGAAGCGGGGAGACGGTCCGGGGGCGGGGGGACAGAGTGGAACATTTTTTTTTAAATAAGTGAGATGCCTGCCTGTGGGCGCCGGCGAGCGGCTGGAGGCGGGGGTCCCGGGCCGCCAGGCGGATGCGCCCGCGGCCCCCGGGCTTACCTTGCAGGGGAACAGGACCGCCGAGGCCACCTTCTCCATCGCCAGGTTCCTGATGCTGGGCGTCAGGGCGCCCCTGCACGTCGGGCAGCAGCTCAACTTCTGGCGGCATTGGTTACACACCAGGTGCCCGGCCTGGCACTGCAGGATGGGGGGCAGGACATAGTCAAAACAGACCGGGCACTCGAAGAGCGAGGTCAGCTCGTGGTGCTGCGGGGACACCGGGCCGGCGCCGCCGCCGCCGCCGGGGCCCGAGATCACCGCCGCCGCGGCGGGCACCGCGGACGAGCCGGGGCCCGCGGCGGAGATGGTGGCGGCGGCCGGGGGCGCAGCCGGGGACGGAGCGTGCTGCGGCGGCGGCGGCGGCTGCTTGCTGCAGGGCTTGTTAGCGCTGGGGCCGGTGGAGGGCGGGCGGCTCATCGCGCTCCGAACCCACCATGGACCCGCGGCCGCCTGCCTTCCGCGGGGCCGCCGGGGCCAGGCGGTGCGCGCCCGCCGGGCGCCGGGTCCGGAGCAACGCCACCGCGCCCGCCCGGGCCGGCAACCGAGACGGCGGGCGCCGGGCAGGCTGGGGCGGGGCGCGCGGACGACCCCGCCGCCCCCCGCGTCCGAGCGGCCCCGGCGGCCCCTCCTCCCGGCGGTCGCGGGCCCCGAACCCCGGCGGCGCAGAGCCCGGCGCAGCAGCCCTCGGAGCAGCGCTGACGTAAGCCCCGGGGGCGCGCGCGGACGTGACGCCGGGACACGTGTGCGGCCGCCCGGCGCGCGGGGACTGGCGGGGCCACCCTGCTCCCGGCCGCGGCTGGCAGCGCGGTCGCCTGGCGTGGGCGCCCCGGCCCGACTGCGCCCGCGCCCAGCGGCAGGCCCGGCGCTCGGGCGGCGCGGGCGCAGCTGTGCCGGGCGGGGCGGGGCGGGGCCGCCCCGCGGAGGCGTCGCCGAGTCGCGTGGCCACTCCCCGCGGAGCCACGCCGACGCGTCCCCGGGGCTCACACCCGCGGGCGGGGCGGAAGCGCGGTTTCTCGTCCCCGGCTGAGTCACCGGCGCTGGGCGGCCCGCGGGGCTGGGGCGCGGGGCTGGGGGCGCGCGGAGGGCCGGGGCCGCAGCGGGCACGCACCTGGCACTGGGCTGCCGAGAGGAGGTCGGCGCTCCCCGATCCTGCTCCCCACGCGGGGCGGAGGGGACCCCTGTTCCCCTCCCGGCGGAAGGCGCCCGTGAGTTGAGCGCCTCTGGCCGGCGAGGGCGTTCGGACCCGCTGACTGCAGGGGGGTCCCAGACCCCAGGCGTCCCCCCATAGGGGCTGCCTTGCGAGGCCCCGGGAAGACTGGGGGTGACGCTCCGGGAAAACCCACTGCGTCCTCATCTGAGGTTCCCGCCAAAGTTGAAGGCTTTGAGCGAGGGGTAGGCACGCACCCTGCCGAAGGGACCCCGCGTTCATCTAGGTGCTCCGAGTTAAACCGCTTTTCATGCTTTGAGCCACTGACACTGGGTTTGGAGGAAGGGGTCACTTAGATGGGGTTCAGATTCTTTGTGGGAGAGACCGTGATAAGGAGCAAAAGTGTAATGGAAAGAGCACCGGTCTTACAGCTGGGATAGTGCGGATCAAGTGAGTTTGATCTTCGCCAAGAACCTGGCCCATTATAAACACTGCTTAAATGTTAGCTGTTATTAAATATATATATTATTCGTGAACGTTTAATATTGATATTATCCGTGAATAAAATCTGTTTAAGAAACATGCTGTTAGAGCCCAGAAAAAACTTAAGTTTAATGTTAATTTCTGTGCGCGTGGAATATGATCGAAGTCTTGGCAACAATGAGATGGAATGTCAGTCAACCGTTCAGTAAATGTTTCCTGAGCATTTGTTATGTGCCAGGCGTTGGGCTCTGAGAAGGGTTCACCTTCGGTTTTCCTGCTAGTCAGGGGGCTATGGGAGGACCACACACTCATGGGAGAGCATTCCAGAGGAGCAGGTTGGGTGGGGTGAAGGCCTTGTAGCAGGAGTTAAAGCACAGGGGATGCATTTAGAAGCGCACTGGATTTGGGGTTGGGGGTGATGCATGGGAGCCCCAGTTGGCCTAATGAGAGCTTTATCTCAGTGTCAAGGGGTCACCACTGTAGGTTTTTGAAAAGCATTGTCACATGGCTGAATCAGAGTTTCATAAAGTTATAAACCATAATAATTTAACGTTTATTGAGTGCCCGTGCTCGGCGTGGTTGATTTGTCCTAAGGACTGCAACGACTCTGTACGAGGGGTACGGCTGTTCTTACCTCCATTTTTTTTTATCCTCACCTGAGGACACTTTTTCCATTTTTTGTTCAGATAGAGTGGGAGGGAGAGAGAGAGAGAAATATCGACGTGAAAGGGACACATCGAGTGGCTGCCACCCACACGACCCAACCAGGGCCGGGGACAAACTGCAACCGGGGTACATGCCCTTAGCGGATACCGAACCCGGGTCTCTCCGGACCGCAGTCCGATGCTCTGACCACTGAGCCAAACCGGCCAGGGCGTTACCTCCATTTGTATAGTTGAAACTCAGACACAGGGAGATTAATTTGCTCAGGATCACCCAGCTGATAATGTTTGGAAATAGCTCAGGAGCCCTCCTTAACTGCGATTCTATAGCCCTGTCAGCTGCGCGGGACTCCTGCTCAGTCTCGCTGGGGAGTTAAGATCAGCCCCCTCAACACGGTCGCAGACAGCCGCAGCCTCTGACCAAGCACTGGATTTTGTGGGCACACCGTACGTAAATTCTTCCCTTCGCTCGTCTTCAGAGGGAGAAAAATTAAATCATACTCGATTTATTCCATTTGTGCCTTTTTATATCATAAAGAACATAATAGTGACAACCGAAAAAAAAAATCAGCCACACTTTCACTTTTGTAGGAGAAAATAGAATATTTTCCACTTTGGGTTTAACACCCAAGCACGTGGAATTTCTCACCAAGATTTCTTTTCCATCCACCGCTGGCCTCTCAGGGCAGGTGTCCCCCATAACCAGGGCTTACTCGCTCTCAGAGAAGCGGGGTCCCCACCTGGCCATGTCGACAAGAACGTCCAGTGTTCCGGCCATTGAGGCCCTGGCTGTTCAAAAGGTGATTTTGTTATAGGGGTGCTGAAAGAAAGTACAGGCAAAGCAATTCTCTGCGGAGAGGTTCGGTTTATTTTTCCCAAAACTACAACGGACCCGCCCACTCCCCCCTGGCAGGTGCCTCCTGTGGTCTGGAGAAATCTCTCGCGTCCCCCTTTACGCACTGTGCTCCTTTGGCAGTGACTGAAGACAGGCGGGAAGGGAGTGGATGGGCCTGCTGGTCGACCCACATCAGTGACCCCTCCAGGCTGCCAGGCTGGCCTCTCCAGTCCTCCTCCCTCCTTCCTCCGGACTTCTGATTCAGAGACAGGTAGCCTCTGCCCACTGGCCCCTGTGAGCCAGAGCACTCCCTCAGGAGGGCATGCACGAGGTCGTGGGGGGGCCCTGGACGGTTGCTGCTGTTGCTGGGCTAATATGTAATGGGTGACTTTGTGGCCTGGGGAGGGGAGGGGGAGTCGGGCCTTTTGTCATCTCCTGATTCGTGACTCATTTGCCACATCTGCGGCATGACAAGTTGGCTTCCTTTCCCCACCCACTGTGGCCTGGATTGCACAGACGGGACCTGCAGAGCAGGGCGCCTCTCCTCAACCCATCCCTTCTACACTGCCCTTTAAAAAATTTTTTTTATCCTCACCCAAGGACATTTTTCCATTTTTTGTTCAAATAGAGTGGGAGAGAGAGAAACATCGATGTGAAAAGGACACATTGAGTGGCTGCCACCCGCACAACCAACCAGGGCCGGGGACAAACTACAACCGAAGTACATGCCCTTAGCGGGAACCGAACCCGGGTCTCTCTGGACCACAGGCCGACGCTCTAACCGCTGAGCCAAACCGGCCAGGGCTGCACTGCCCTTTGTGGTATACTGGGAACCTTTCTCTCCTTAAACTATCCGGAGGAGTTTGTTTGTTGTTGTTGTTTTTTAAACCTTTGCCCTGGTCGGTGTGGTTCAGTGCACCAAAAGGTGGCAGATTCAATTCTTGGTCAGGGCACCTGCCCAGGTTGAGGGTTTGGTCCCTGGTTGGGGTGTGTATGGGAGGCAACCGAGCGATGTTTCTCTCTCTCTCCCTTCCTTTCTCTTGAAAAAATAAAAAAACATATTAAAAAATAAAAAAACACACAACAAAACAACAGCTCACAGCTGAGCTCCCAACCTCACCCAAACCGCTGCGCACAGTGAGGAAGGCGGCAGCCAGGCGGACAGGTGCTTGTCTTCGCCCCGTAACTTCCAGGTCGTGCGCTTCCGCAGACCCGGCAACTTCTGCGGCCGGGCTGATGCTGTGCATTTCCAGAGCCAAGTGTGGCTGGCGTTTCTGTTTAGGGTTCGAGATGACTCAGGATTGCCCTGGAGCTTGCTGTGTGGACATTTCTAACAAGGGGAACACTCGTGGGAAATTTGGAGGTGCCTCTGAAGCCCCCTGATAATTATGGTAGGAACTTCCATCTTTATAAAGTGTTTTTGTGTCTGGGGTGTTTTCCACACACTTGAACTTGTTTTGAATACCTATGGGTCTTTAATGCGAGTATCTCTTGAACCACCCCCGTGACCCTTGTCCTGTGTACCGCAGAGTGGGCCTGTGCGTTGGCATTGTTTCTGTGTCCATACGTAGCTGAGAGCTCTTGAGTGCTGGCCCTCTGCCAGGTACTGTTCCAAGTACTTTACATATTTTCATTCTTTTAATATTCACAGTGTCTCCTGTGAGGTAGATGTTCACAGAGGATAGAAGTGGCCTCCAGAGAGGCCAAGTGACTTGTCGTAAGTCGTCTCTGGGATGGCTCTGGTCATACCTCTTCCTGGGGTCCTTCCCCTTTCTTCAGGTGAGAGCTGGACCTACTGACCCACTTTAACTGAATAGAACATGGCCAGAGTGATGGAATGTCACTTCCAAGATGAGGATACAAAAAGACTGAGCCGTCTGTCTGTCTGTCTCTGAGCCATCTCTGTGGGTGAAGTCAGCAGCCACGCTGGGAGTAGCCCTATGAAGGCCGGCACCGCAAGGAGCTGATGTCTCTGGCCAGTAGCAGCAGAGACCCCGGGCCTGGCTGACAGTTGGATTGCACCTGGGAGCCCCTCAGCCAGAGGACCTCGTGACAGCGACTGCGGAGCCCACACAGAAACTGGGAGAAATAAGTAGTTCTTTTCTTAATTTTTGTTTTTGTTAATCCTCACCTGAGGATATTTTTCCTTTGATTTTTAGAGAGACTGGAAGGGGCGGGGGGTGTGTGTGTGTGTGTGTGTGTGTAGAGAAACATCAACGTAAGACGTATCGATTGGTTGCTTCTGAACACGCCCTGGTGCCCTGACCAGGGCTGGGGATCAAACCTCACCCTTTGATGCTTGGACTCAACTCTGACCGTTGAGTCACACTGGCCAGGGCAGTGCTTGTTTGTTTAAGCCACTAGGTTTGAGGGTATTTGCTACACAGTAATAAATAACTAACACAGTTGTTCAAAGTTAAAAAGCTTATCTCTGGCCCTGGCCGGTTTGGCTCAGCGGCTAGAGCTTCAGCCCGCAGTCCAGATAGTCCTGGGTTCGGTTCCCGCTAAGGGCACGTATCTCGGTTGCAGTTTGTCCTCCGCCCTGGTTGGGGTTGTGCCAGTTGATGTGTCTCTCTCACATCAATGTTTTTCTCTCTTCTCCCTCTTGCTCTATCTGAAGATGAATGCAAAAATGTCCTTGGGTGAGGATTAAAAAAAAAGCT